AGGAGGCAAACTCCAAGGTCCGCCAGGGCAGGGCGGGGAGAGAGGTGGGTACCAGAGCAGGAAGAGGGGCCACGGGTACCAGTGATGTGTTAGACCCCACAGCTCCCCCTTGTGCTGTAGGGGGAGAAACTGAGGCACAGCTGGGGATGGAACATGAGAGTCCTGGCTCCCAGACCCCACCTTTAACCACTAGACCCCACTCCCCTCCCAGAGACAGGGAGAGAACCCAGGCATCCTGGCTCCCAGACCTCACACCCCCTGCCTCTCTAACCACTAGACCCCACTCCCCTCCCAGATCTAGGGATACAAACCCAGGCGTCCTGGCTCCCAGCCCCCACCCCCTGCTCTCTGGAGTGGAAGCAGGTGGCTCTATCCCCCAGGGCCGGGACAGGCTGGGTGCGCCCCACGCGCTGCCCCCCACATCCTTCATTCAGCTGCAGAAGGAACCAGATCAAACTGTGAAGACAGTTTTATTGGTGGCCCCCCAGGCCGGCTCTGAGGGGCAGCTGGCGGTGTAGCCGGTACCGGTTAGTCTGCTGCCGGACCATCGTTGCATCGCCGGGCTCCTTCCTCAGTTACAAGGGGCCCCGGGGGTGTGACCAGCCCCTTGCTCCCCCAGGAAAGGTGTGTGTGTGGGGGGCTAACAACCCAATTTGTGCCCTTTGGTGGATGAAGAGACCCCAACAGTTCAGACGTTCTCCCACCCAACCTCTAGACCCCACTCCCCGAGCTAGGAATAGAACCCAGGAGTCCTGGCCCCCTCCCCGCTTTAACCACTAGACTCCACTCTCCAAGTCGGGGATAGAACCCAGGAGTCCTGGCTCCCAGCCGCTGTAACCCCTAGGCCCCTTGCGGCCGGTGGGGGTGCAGAAGGAAGGTTGCTGGAGAGCGACCCCCAGTGGCAGAGGTTGGGGCTGGGGGGTGCCGTGGTCACAGGTCACGGGTGTCCGACAGCCCCTGGCCCTGGCGGAAGGTGGAGCAGGAGAACGTGACTTGCGCGTACGTTGGATCGATGTCCTGGAAGGGTGCAGAAAAGATGGATCTGTCATAGCAGCCAGGAGGCGCTGTGGGGTGGGGTTGAGGCAGGGCTGGGGGGCTGGGCAGGGGGCACCATGGGTAGGGAGTGGGGCAGAGGGTGCTGTGGGGCAGGGAGCGGGGTAGCGCACTGGGCAGAGGGTGCTGTGGGACAGGGAGTGGGACAGGGTGGGAGGCTGAGCAGGGAGTGCTGTGGAGTGGGGGTGGGGACTGGTTAGGGGGCATCGTGGGGCAGGGAGAGAGATAGGGGTTGGGGGCTGGTCAGGGAACACCATGGGGCAGGGAGAGGGGCAGGGCAGGGATTGCTGTGGGGTGGGGCCTGGGCAGGGGTGCTGTGGGGTGGGGAGTGGTTTGGGTGTGGGGAGCTGGGCAGGGGGGTGCTGTGGGGCAGGGTCTGGGCAGGGGGTACCATGTGGTGGGGAGCAGGTTGGGTGTGGGGCACTGAGCAGGGGTGTGCCATGGGGCAGGGGGTGCTGTGGGACAGAGAGCAGGGCTGAGGAGAGGGGTGCTGGAGAGGGGCTGGGCAAGGGGTGCCATGGGACAGGGAGTGGGGGGCTGGGGAGAGGGGTTCCAGGGGGTGGGCCAGGGGGACTTACCGGGAATTCAAACTCAGCCCCGGAGTCTGCGTCGTCTTCCTTATTCTGGCTCTTAGGGGGTGCTGCCCCCCCGGCCGCTCGCCCAAGCCTGGGCCCCTCTGCTGGGAGCTTGGGGAGCAGCCCCCAGTCCTGGGACGCTGCCTGGGGCCAGCCCCCCTCGGTCATCTGCTGGAGACCTAACCACGGGAGGGGTCAGAGTGAGCTCCCCGCTGCCCACCCCTATATCGGCCCCTTGGCCCCATCTCTGCCCCACGGCTTGGCCCCTTGGCCCTGTCTCTCCCCCCTCCCCGTATCGGTCCCTTGGCCCAGCTGACTTGGCCCCCACCTTACCCTGGGGTCTTCCTATGGATGTGACACCATGTTCCCCCCTCTGGGTGCAGTTCTCACATTTCACCACTAGGTGGTAACATGGTAACCCACTGAAGCCAGGGTGCCGCAGTAAGAAATCCCTCTCTTAAAGGGGAGGCCAGTGGTGCTGGGACGGGCACTCAAAGCCCTGGCATCAGGCCTGGAGGTGTGTGGGGGCTGCCCTCAGTGGGGGCGGGACAGTCATTACTCACACATATTGACCCCAGAGATGTCAGTCGACCTGCGAAGGCAGAAGGGAGGGTCAGTGGTGGGGCGGGAGGCTGCTGGGGCCCTGTCCTTTATGGGGTGGGGAACAGGTCAGCCCGTACAACCCCTAATGCCCCACACTGCTGCAAAGGATTCTGGGTCGCCACTTTCTCTTTTCTCCTCCTTTCCTACTGGTTCATCCTCTTTGTCCTCCTCCGTCTCCTTCATTCTCTCTCTTTCCCCCTCCCCCTTTTCCTCCTCTCCTCCTTTTTCTCTCTTTATTCCCTTTCCTCCATCGATTTCTCCGGTCTTCGCCCCATTCCCTTCGCTCGCTCCCTTCGGTCACACTCCAGTTCCCTCCTTCGTTCTCTTTTCCTTACCCTCCCTCCGATTCCCCCCAAACCTTCCTCCTGTCCTGTGCATTATTTGATCTCTCTTCTGCCCCAGCCTGGTCTCCCTGCCCCCCATCTTCCCCTGAGATCCACCCTGGGGGTATGTAGCCATCTAATGCCCCACCTGGGCCCCAGCCCCCCCTTATCATTCACAGTGTCCCAGCCACAGAAATCCCCCCTTTCATTTTCTGTGGGCCACGTTCCCCCCATAGATTGACCCCCCCCCGGCCACCTGGATCCACGGACCGGAGCCCCTATCACTTGAGCTCAATGCCCAGCCCCCATCCAGGCTGTGTGACCCGCTATGTGCTGGCATCGCCCCTAGAGGGTGTGAGCGAGCCAGGCTGGGGGGAGGGGGTGACCCTAGAGCCAGTCCCCTGGGAGGGTGGGGCCATGGAGACCAGACCCCGCCCCCTTACATACCGTCTCGCTATCTGCGACCGGCGCAGCTCCCGGCTCTTCCAGTAGGACCTGGAAGGGAATTGGGGGTGGGGGTGGGGTCAATATGGGGGCTCGGCCTGGTGAGGGAAGTGGGGGGGCACTGCTGGGATTAGCTGGGCCTAGGGGATGGTGGCTGCAATTCCCAATTTGACCACAAAGGGGCTGCGAGGTGCAGGAGGAGAGAATGGGGGGAATCAGAAAATTTTGCCCTACCGGTATGGGGAAGGGGGGCAGGTCGTGAGCCAGGACTCCTGGGTTCTATCCCCAGGGGATCGAGGGACCTGTTGGAAAAGATTTGCCCTTCCAGGGACAAATGGCTCCCAACCCCACGGAGAGGCCTGAGGACCCAGAGGAACTTACATGGAGAGCCGGCGGCTACCTGGGGAAGGAAGGGAAAAAGGTTGAATTAAAGTGAGATTCCACAGAGTCTCTCGTCCCCGTCTCTCCCCAGCTGTGGTGCCCCCTAAGGGGAAGCACCCTGCCATCCCGGACGCCTGGGTCCCATCCCTCCTCCCAGTTTCTCCACCCCCAGATCTGGGAGCTGAACGGCTCCCCCAGGGGTGAGGTGACTGTGCTGCTTCTTGGATGCCTGGGTCCCATCCCCCATCCTGCCCCCCACCCAAAGTTGGCTGGGTCTCAGCCCCATATTTGTATTCCCTGCCCCCCAAAGCCAAATCACTCACAATCCTTTGTAACAGGAGTCTGCTGTGCCAAGTTACCCACAGTCCTTTGCACCAGAGTCCTGTGGTACCCAACTACCCATGATTCCTTGCATGGCGGTCCTGCTCTAGCCAGATACCCACAGTCCTTTGCAACAGGCTCTTGATATCCCATGTCACCCCTTGTGGGGGCTGAGAGCGCTGAAGGTGCCCCCTAGGTGTGAACACTCCTGTCCCGCATGCCTGGGTCCCATCCCCCACAGGCACTGAGAGCTGCGGTGCCCCCTAGGGGTGAATGCCCTGTGCTGCCGTCCCAGACGCCTGGGTCCCATTCCCCATCCTACGCCTCACGCACCTGCCGTCTTCTTCCTGCAGAGGTAGATGAGCAGCAGCAGCAGCGCCAGAGCCGTGGCAGCCCCACCGCACCCAGCCACCAGGAGGACGGGCAGAGACCAGGCTGGTAAAAGGAGGGGATGAGTTAACAGCCAGGAACAAGGGAGGGGGCAGCGTCTGGGGACCCATGATCTGCTCCAGACCCCATCCAGGGCAGGGCACAATCTGGGCCCTCCCCTTTAAGGAGGGATTTTTTGCCTGCCAGATGCTCTTGGTACTGCCCATGATGAAATGCTGCCACCTGGTGTCAGGCTCAGGTACTGCACCCTTGGGACCATCGTGGTTCTGTTGCCCAATATGTGCTGTGTCTTGGCTCCAGGGTGTCCCCTGGGGTAGCAGGTGTTGGGGTGCTGGGGTTATTGCGGGGTGCGATTACAGGCTCACCTGTCACGGTGATGTTCACAGCCTGGCTCCTGGGGGATGGGATCCACCTGCCGCTCATGTTCACCTCGTACCCGCAGCTGAATTGCCCGGTGTTGCTGGGACCGGCCCATGGGATGCTGAGCACAGAGAAGTTCATAAAGCTGGTGCCGGGCTCCATGGTGCTGATCTCAGACCCTGTGTCCGCAAAGAGGATCTCAGCTCCATCCTTGTAGAAGTGAAACCTCCTCTCGCTGGTGTTCCTGGGGGCCATGCAGGTGATGAGCAGGGGGAGCCCTTCACTCACCACTCCGGACAAGGGATCCACACTCAGCTGTGGCTGGGGAGGGGGATCTGAGGGGAGCAGGACAGGGAAGAGGTCAATAGAGAAACCACAGTGCTGAGTGTGGGAAAGGGGCGGCAATACTGTATATGGGCACTAGGGGCAGCAGAGGGTGGGGTGGGGAAGGGGCGGCTGTACTGTATAATGGGCACTAGGGGCAGCAGAGGGTGGGGTGGGGAAGGGGCGGCTGTACTGTATAATG